AGCTTCATGACATCATAAGCTGGAACATTTTGAGCTTTAGAAATGTAGACAGACTAATAAACCCGGGTTCAAACATGGGTGAATGAAACAAAACACATCTCCAGGTCTGTTCTTGATGAGATAACACGGCGTAAAGTTCACGAGAATATATTTTGCGTGATACAGGAGCTTTGACCAGACTAACCCTGGTGTCCGTGTGTTGCTTCAGTGATTGACCCGAGCTCGGCGTAACTAGGCCACAGCTGCCTCCTCCTCCTCCTCCTCCTCCTCTCCATCCTCGTCTGTCAGTTTTCCAACACTTTTCCCACATTTGAGCCTTCTGCTGAAAACCCCTAATGGAAATATTACGAGCCTCTGCACGACCTGCGTTATAGAGAGAATCAGAACAAACACAAAGTCAAGATAAGTTCAGCCACGGCACTTAAGCCTCGTCCAAATCCAAAATCAAATCGAGCAGTCATTCTGTAGTAATGCATTGTTATATTTTTGAACGCTCGGGTGCACGGCTCTAATAGGTCCATTTTGTTTCCCCCTTTAGATGAGGTTATAAAACGAGGCTAGCAATAGGGAAAAAATCAGTCCACTTTGTGCCGTCCTCATCTGATTCTAACAGATTTAGCTGATGGCAAACACAGAAAGAAGAGTCTATATTACACTGTATTACCTTTGGGATGAGACGGCGTTGGCTCTGCACTCCAGATCCAAGAGACAAAAGCTTCACGTTGTCAGTATAAAATGATCTGAACATTTGTGTTTTATGCACCGCTCCTTTAGTTCGTCTCATTTTTGTCCTTCCAAATACATTAAGTTATATTTCATTCTGACCAGAAAGAAATGACTTAAGACGTTTCGATTTCAATCGATTTGAGCTACCTAGCATAACGATGCCCAAACGCTGGTCCAGTTTAAAGTGTTACCGTTTGATTTAAGCTTCCGAGGCAGAAGTGGACTAACAAGTCACATTTTAAAAGTATTATTATTATTTTTTGTTTGTATGTTTGGACCAGTTAAGCATCGACATGTGTGTGTTAGATTTGCAGCAGAATATCTACATTAGATGATTGAATAGTTTGGATTTAATATTTGATTTTATTGTTATCATTTTCAATTTTGTTTCGTTTTTGTCTTATTTTGTTTCCATGTGGAGAAAACGTAATTTAGCTTAGAAAGGCATTGTATGAATAAAATATCACTATATTATAACAAGAAATTCCCACTGTAACCTGTGATATTAGCATTAAATATGATATATATCCAGTGTTGTGGAGTAACAGATTACATGTACCGGAGTTACGTAATCAGAGTACAAATTATGAGTAACTGTATTCAGTTCAAAACCAGGACTAAAACTAGATCTAAACCAGGTCTAAACCAGGTCTAAACCAGGACTAAACCAGGTCTAAACCAGGACTAAACCAGGTCTAAACCAGGTCTAAACCAGGATTTAACAGGTCTAAATCATGCTGTGTGGACGTGTCTCCTCTTCTTCTATCAATAATATTTTTAATACGGTTAAGTAAAGTCTCGGCTTTTTATTTTCTTTTAGCAGATAAAACATCTTATGTTACGATTTCCTCGTCTTTGCTTCTCTACAGCAAATCAAGTAATCCAAAGTATTCAGATCATGTTACTCACTTTAAGTAATTTAATGGGTTACATTACAAACTACATTTTGCGGTATGTAATCTGTAATCTGTAGGGGAATACATTTTAAAAGTAACTTTCCAAACACTGTATATGTAACGCTATTTAATATAAAGATTTCAGTGTTTACAGTCATTTCTTTCTCTTCTATAGCGGGAGCCTTATTTGAAAGAAGATATTTGCTTGTGGAAATGAGCTCTGCCCAAATTCATATAAATGAGTGAATAATGGTGATTGTACAGTGGGAGAATTGTTGGTCTTTGTTTTTAACACAACTGAAGGATTTTGAGGTGATAAAAAGTTTATGATCTAAAAATAGTAGAGATGTAACAATAACCGAAATATTGTGATATCGTATTGTCAAAAGTCTCACAATAATGTCGTGGACTGTCACAATATATTAAATCACAAGTTCCTTTGCTTAAATGTATTGTTTTATAGTAGCAAGAGCTTATAAAAACAGGGAACTACATATCCCATAATTCATTACAGCACAGACAACATGAAGAAATATGTTTTTGACTTGAATTCTTGGGATTATGATGTAATAATCCACACCAAGATTTTGTCAAGGTCTTTTAAAAGCAAAAAAGTGTCTCATCTACAACTATATCAGCCTCTCCAAAATATCTCAATAAATATCGTACTGTGAGATGCTTATTGTAATAATATTGTACCGAGAGATTTGAATATCATTACATCTCTAAAAAAAATTGGTAAAAATCACCCCAACCTTTCTGAAAACTATAGGTCTGTCCGTGTCCCCCGAACATGAGCAGTTTGTGATTACAGTGAGTGTTCACTACGCCAACTCCAGACAGATACAAGCAGCAACACTTCCACGTTATGTGAATAAATCCATGATAAAATGACAGTCACATTAGCAGCTGGCATTAGTGAGCAGTTTTTCAGTTAGTCACGCTCACCTTTTAGTTGAAAATCAAACTCCTGAACAGGAACATGAACGCTCAGATTGATCACAGGCTCCTGAAAATGTGCTGCTTAAATCCATTTGGTATTTCAAAATGTCACTATGGTAACTGCTATCTAGATTCAATCAGATACAGACACATGTAGAACACCCCCAGAGTGATGTCACTGCAGAGTATCAGTACATCAGATTTTACATTTATATTATTATTACATTACTCTTACTTGAGTAGTTTGTCCAAATACTTTTAACTCTTACTTGAGTAATTTCTTGGAGCATTACATTGCACTTGTACTTGCATATTATTATTTTGAAGTATTGGTACTCTTACTTGAGTCCAGACGTCCCTGTTTACCCGGGACAGTCCCAGTTTTGAGCCTGTGTCTCCTTTCCCAGCAGATTTATACAAAACCACTCATTTGTCTCAGTTTTATACAAAAAAATTTCCCTATTTTTGAACAATTTAATATCTGCCAACAGTAAAGATGCATCCCAAATTTCAGACTTCCGATCATTGCGCAATGCATACTGGGAAGGATGCGCCAAAAAATGAGCATTAAACCGCCATGTTTGATTTCCCATTTGGATGTGTCTATTGACAAAGTCGATCTTTTCAAGTCTTTTGAACCATATCACTTTTGTTTCTGGTTCTGATATTGTCATATTTTAGTTTTGGGATTCAGACATTGTAATTGTGTGGTTGTTGGATGTCCCAGTGGAAAATGGGTTTCGGAAGTTTGTGAACTCCATAACTGCAAAAGGGAATCAGATGTGTGTGATTGCAAACCTCTGTTCAAACTCTTTCTCTTCCCAACAGAATTGAAAAATAGTGAAAGGTGAAGGCGATGGGCAGGATTGATCCACAGGAAGAACCAAAAAGGAAACCATCCCGAGTTTGCAGTGAACATTTTGTATGTGTAATGACAATGAAGCAAAATCCTGATCCCTCGCTCAATCTTGTCAACACCAAAGTGAAAGGCACCAACTGTTCACCAAGAAACACCTTCCACTACAAAGCAACCAAGATGTGATGTTGCTATAAAACCACAAGAACAAGAAAGTGCAGCTCAGTCTGTTTGTCTTCTGCACCTCTCGATTAACAAACGGGATCCCGCTTTGTATTGTATTGCAAAATGTTTTTAAAACTGATTCACAAGTGCATGGAGAATGAACAAAGTGCCTAATAATGTTCTTATTTAAGCGCTCATGAGTTTATTATTACCAACCACCCCAAAACTAGCCAGGCTGGTGCCACCTGGTGCCTCCGCTCAAGTAACTAGGTCAAGAATCAGAATACAAAAGTGTAAGATCGGGCACCAGCCAATTGGCGAAGAGTCATATATTCTGTGTTGTCAATGATTCCTGAGATTGAGGATTTAAAGCCGAAACAAAGAGAATGTTTGGTGAATTTCGTCAAGGGGAAAGACGTTATAGTTCTTCTTCCTCTGGGATTTGGGAAAAGCTTAATATACCAGTTAGCCTTGTTAGTGGTGCATTACATACGTCACGACCAAACAGCAGCGATTGGTTAAATAATAAAAAGTGTGGGTACTTTTTATTATTTAACCAATCGTTACTGTCGAGTGAACAAATCCTAACACTGCGAGGTTAGACGATTTCTACGAAGTGAAACCGGCTGATGAATCAGGCTACCCCAAACCAGGTGTGTCCCAGTTTTTAAATTTGAAAATCCGGTCTCCCTACATTAAAATCCTGAATCTGAGTGGAGACAAACATAGACAATGTCCCTATTTACCCGGGACAGTCCCAGTTTTGAGCCTGTGTCCACTGTCCCAGCAGATTTATCCAAAACCAGTGATTTGTCCCAGTTTTATACAAGAAATGTCCCAGGTGTCTCTATTTTGGACCAATCTGATCTTGCCAAAAGTAAAGAGAGACATCAACTGTCATTTGTGGAGGTAAAATACAAAAAAGCTGCTTAAAAATGACCAAAACACAAAGAAAATGTGACTGTACTGACTCACATGTTCGTCATGAATGGGCCAAGTGCAGAACAGTTTATTTCATTTCGCACTCGTTTCACAATTTTATTATTACCAACCACTACAAACTGAGTGTCTTAGTTTTGAATTTTGAAAATCTGATCACCTTCTACTCTGCTCTTTCTACGCTCAGTGAATTGCAATCAACAACAACAATCCAACATTTTATTCTTGCAATGTGAAAAAGTCGTCAAAATGAAAACGCTGTTGCAACAGAAACATAAATGGGTCACATGGTCTTGTTTGTGTGCTCCAGGTGAATTAGCATAGTGCAGTCTCCTCTGGTTGTGGTTAGTTGTGTGAGCGTCCTCTGGGACAGGCCGACAGTGCCGGGAGCAGCTCGTGTATCGATCGCTTGTATTGATCGCTCAGTATGGACCTGGACCGTGTTATTGATGTTTCTCTGTGTATCTCTGTTGCAGCTCTGATCTCCGCTGGCTGCTGCACCAACGGCTGCCGGAACACCAAGCTCTGGGACAGGTGAGAGCACACTGCCACAGCAACACACACGTACAAGCTGGGGGAGGGAATGTTCCATAGTAATGCAATAAAGGTCCCATCTGATGTAAAATAACTCTTTTCACATTGTATCTTCTGCACATATTCAAGCACAGTTTGGGTTTTGGAACATCCATTACACAATAGTTCTGAAATCTTACTGTTTTCTTGGAGAGAGTCACAGACCAGGAACTATGAAAGACCGACTATTGCTCCTCCCCCCGCCCGTCATGAGAAAGCACAGGCTCCGCCCTCCAAACGTGACGTAGACTCTGAGTGAGCCGCCCTTCCTCCGCCATCTCAGGGAGGGAGGGGGAGACAGGCGTGCACCCTGATAGTGGTAGGAATAAACTTTTATTCATCATGGTGGTCAGTGTTGGGAAGGTGACTTTTAAAATGTAATCCCCTACAGATTACAGATTACATAACCCAAAATGTAGTTTGTAACAGAATCCATTAAATTACTTAAAGTGAGTAACGTAATCTGAATACTTTGGATTACTTGATATTGTCATGTTTTTTAAAATTACATGAATGTAGCAACCACATCCTGAAAGTTCTTGTTTGTTCAGTCTTTACATGACCAGATAAAAAATATTATTGATAGAGAAATGATTTTTATATGAGATCACTGCTGCCTTAAAGTATGTCCACCTACTGTTACTGTCATATTGTATTAGTTTAGTCCTGGTTTAGACCTGGTTTTAGTCCTAGATTACTCCGGGATTAGACCTGGTTTAGTGCTAGTTTAGTCTGGTTTTAGTCCTGGTTTTAGGTTGTAGGTAGGTTTGGTTGTACTCTGATTACGTAACTCCAGTACATGTAATCTATTACTCCCCAACACTGATGGAGATACAGCGCGTTCATCCGCATGTGTTGGACCTGGAATCGGACGAGGACTTTGAGGAGCACGAAGCTCAAGCACCGCGTCCACATCAACTGAACATTACTGATTGGTAAAGTATTAATAAACACTAGTAGATCAACTTATTATATCGTGTTCACTGCAGTGGAGAACAATGAGCTTATGCTGTCGCTTTTGTTTAGGTGTTCATGTGGGAATTGTCAGACGATGCGGAGGGAGGCGGTGGAGCGGGGGAGGGGGGGCAGGTGCGAAACGTCTGCTACGTCAAATAAAAGCGTCATAGGTGTATCTGCCGTGTCATCGTTGTAGCAGCTTTAGTTCGTTGTCACGTGGGAGGGTGACAGAAATACACTGCAATTTGTTAAAAAAAAAACCCAAATCAATCTAAAAAACACTTCAGTGACAAATCCAAGGCCCACACATCACTCTTAGAAGGTAGAAAGATCTGAAAAGTTGATTTTGCATGAGATGAGCTCTTTAAAATAAGTTGCCCACATGTCCCTATTTAGTCTCAGTTTTGAGCCTGTGTCTCCAGCAGATTGACACAAAACCACAGATTTTTTCCAGTTTTATACAAGAAATGTCCCAGGTGTCCCTATTTGTAATCCCTAAAAACAGTAAAAAAGAGGAATATTTTGCCAAATGTTTTTGTTTAAATACAGAAAACTGGGCCTGAAAATCACCAGAAAACTCATGTCGTGCACTGATTCACAAGTGTGTGGAGAATAAACAAAGTGTTTAATAATGTTCTTAATTGCACACTCATGATTTTATTATTACCAAACACCCCAAACCAGGTGTGTCCCAGTTTGTAAATGTGAAAATCTGGTCTCCCCACATTAAAATCCTGATTCTGAATGGAGACAAACATAAACATCGTCCCTATTTACCTGAGTCCCCTGTCCCAGCAGATTTATACAAAACCAGTGATTTGTCCCAGTTTTATGCAAGAAATGACCCAGGTGTACTTATTTTTGACCAATCTGATCCTGCCAACAGAAAAGAGAAACATACATTGTCATTTCTTTAGGTAAAATACAGAAAAGCTGCTTAAAAATGACCAAAACACAAAGAAAATATAGCTGTACTGACTCACTTTAGTGCCGAGTGCAGAACAGTTTTCCTTAATAATGCTCGTTTTACAATTTTATTATTCCCAACCAACCCAAACCGGGGATGTCCCAGTTTTTTTATTTTGATTTTATTTCTGTTCACCCTAGACAAACGGCTAATGCAAGATCTGTGGAGAGGCGATCCCGCTTAAAAATAAGAGGACACGTTGAAGATATTTTCATTTTTGTTTCTTTTCACGATACTGCCGGGTATGTGCTAATCCTCCCATTCAGTCTCTATGGGGAATTATTGGATTCATGCAAAAATGAATCAATATTTAATAAGATACAGACAGATAATCATTGCAAATATGTTAAGACCTACTTCTGTGTTTGTAAAAGAAGTGTTTTTGTCTCGAAGTAAATTAAGTATTGATTCATTTTACAGAGACTTCTAATGCTCATTCCCCATAGACAATGAATGGAGCAGTAAGATAAAATTTGCACAGTACCGTTACAAAGGCCTATACTGAATAAATGCAAGACAGACAGAAGAGGTTTAATCATATTTTGAAATGAATTATTAATAGATAGCTTTAATGCCATAGTGTGGAATTTTCTTGACAAATCTTAAGACTTTACTTCTCGAACCGCGGCGGATTACAGGCTTAAGTTGTTCATAGATTTTGTGTAAATAGTAAAATGTTTTAAAGGTGCAATGTGTAACTTTTCTAGTGGAGGGTCCGTCACGTGCTTGTTGCTATGGAGATGTCATTGCTCTGTTCCACAGTATTGCATTAAATGGCTCTACTTCACGTTTATTCAATTACAGGTGGTTTTAGAGCTCAGAGATACCTAGAAAAACAAGCGTTCTGACTGTGAGCGGGGTCGTCTTTCCACAGATCTGACCTGTAACTTGGTCTGGTTTGGTCTGCATGAGGATAGAAAGGTTTAATGCCATAGTCCATGGAGAAACGCATTTAATGGAGCCTCTAAAATGTGAACTTGAAACATAAATCCCAAATCGAAAGGAAAATGAAAAAATGCAATTAGATATTTTTCTCTAGACACAGGACAAGTGCAGGTGCAGAGCTCATGTTATTATTATTATTTTTTTCTTCCTCATTCTAATGCACTGTGTGAGTGTCATTAAACAAAGCTGTGAAGTGAGTGCGTCATCACTTTGGTCTCTTATACCACAACAGCTCAATGTTCTTCTGCATGTAGTATATACTGTATATTCCCTTCAGCCTCATGTGTACTCCTGTGTAGTACTGTGTAGTACTGTGTGGTATTGTATAGAGCTGTATAGACTGTCTGAGTTGATAAAATCCCAGATCGATGTGATGTAAATGTAAAGAATTTAAAGTGCTCTCTCTCCTGGGGTCATTTTGTGGTCAACCCCCTCTCTCTCTCTCTCTCTGTCTCTCTGTCTGTGTGTGTGTGTGTGTGTGTGTGTAGCTTTCTCTCTCTCTGTCTCTCTCTGTCTCTCTGTCTGTGTGTGTGTGTGTGTAGTTTCTTCTCTCTGTCTCTCTCTGTCTCTCTCTGTCTCTCTCTGTCTCTCTCTCTTCATTCTTGTTTAATGTTTCATGAAGCTGAGTTACTTAATGACACTTCTCGTCTCTGCTGACCTCGCCCACTCCCACATGTAAAGAGCATGTGGACCTGCATTAGTCCTGCTTTAGTCTAAAGTGGTGGATCCTCCCAGCTCTGCTCTCCTGCTCATGCACAGACATGTATGTGCAGACATGTATGTGCAGACAGGTCACACTCACACATGTACAACACACACACGGAGTCTTATTTATAAACCTGGACCTGTCATTCTGAATAAAGATTTTCTTATAGGCAAACTTCCTCAAACTCTCTGAGTGATTCTCTCTTGTCTCACATGTGCCTCGTCTCCACAGGGACAGAGAGTACAGACACAACCACAGCGGGTTTTTCTACACATGAACAGTCAAATAAGAAACATTTTTATGTGTTTCGCTTTACAAGTCAAAAATCTAACTTTGGTTAAACCCGGGTTAGAGAAAAGCACAGACATCTTCAGTGTCCAAAAATGCACAAAGTTCTTCCCTCTGCACATTTGTCACAAATTAAATAGTCTGTATACAGGCTGAAGTATGTTCGTCAGTGTCACAATGTTTGTTTTGGTTCATCTGGTCCTCCCGCACCATAATGCTGCTCTGTGATTGGTCCAATCTCCGGCCCACAGGCTCAGGTCCAGTAGCTTAAGTAGGAGCCTGCCACGATGTTTGAGGATTCATCTTGCTGCATCTGGAGTAGTCCGTGGTACTACGCTGCGGTCGCCCGTTGCTCCTGACATGTTTAACCCAGAGACACCGAAGAATGGGTCAAATGCAGAGGACACAGCGCCCCGTAGAGGCAGTGAAGTTAACCTTAACTTCACCACTCAGACTACACTGACTCTGCTTTTCTTTGTGTTGTAGCTTCGATGCCTCCTGACCACCAGAGGGAGCGCTGCTGGACTCTGGATCTCATCAGGTCTGACCCCAAGAAGACCACCACCGTATGGAGAGAAAGAGGAAGGAAGTGACGACCAAACATGGAGGAATGACGGGAATAGGTTGTGTTCACGTAACGTCACAACATTGTAGAATCCCTCTAGTTTAACCTGAGCTGGAGACGGGTCACATTTGTTGACTTGGTTTATGGTTCACGTCTCTGCATTCACTGGACTGATCCACGCGTCTTCTCAGGAGCTTCAGAAAGTGATGCCATTTTTCAACCCCAAAGACGTGATTGTCGTCAGTTGAAACTTTAAACCCTAAGATTAATATGGAAAATTTCTGGAGCCAGTCCCAAACAAATAATGAGAAGGTTCAACATTTGTGGATCATAGGGTTGGAGATTTCTTTCAAAAACAGTGAATCTTCCCAAGAGCTCTCCATCTGAAGTTCTAACAACATCAAATTCTAGAACGTGAACACAACCTATAGGCGAGTTTCAGCTGACGTCATTGTTATTAAAAGCCCGTGTTGCTGCTGGGAAATATTTTGGTCGGAGGCAAGAAACACGGTAGCGTCAAACACAGTGCGTAACTTCGCGTATTTCTCCCCGATAATGGTAAATTCCTGCTGCATTATCGGATGCACAAATAGAAGCACGGAAGAAGGAAAATGTCTTTTTCGTATTCTGAGTGAAAAGAACCGCTAATTAAACGGCTTTCAAACATCTGCAGAGCAAACGTAGAAGATCCTAACAAACCGTGGACTCCAACAAGTTCAACAACACATCGAGACTCTTGGAGGTTTTCATCTTTTCTGCTGTGAATGGCCCAGGAGTTTCCACCAAGTCATTGTGGATATCACCAAAGTGAATATTTGTCCAGGTAGTTGGTGATTCCGACCAGAAATTTGGTTTGATCCACCTTTTGTCGGGGTTGAAAAGGGTGATTTGGCTCCATCGATGCTTATGACCAATTTCTGGTCAAATGGTCTTGGGTCCTCTGCCGTTAGAGTGGATAAATAACCAGGGATCAATACCCTTTACGTGCTTTCTCGCTCCGTCCGTCATGTTGAATTAGTGTTTCTTGCCGCTGACCAAAATAATTCCCAGCATGCAACGCGCACTTTTGTCAACAATGAAACTCGCCTATACCCTGTTCTTCTCCCACGTGGAGGTCAAAGTTGAACCAGAGCCGTGGAGGTGACTGAAATGATGGCCCCTTTCACATTTGAGCTGTGCCCTGTGCTGCTGCTGCATTCTCTCATTGGATTACACAGTGTTCGTATCCTCCGGGGGACGTTTGCGGGGGAGTTTGGATGAGCCGGGAGGACGCCTGTGGATAATAAAAGGAAACGACCAGAGGATTCTAGACGCTGGAGATTTGAAACGTGTTGCCAACTATATAGACCTACCTCTGTGGAGCGCCTGCTGCTTGGAGTGGCTGTTGAAGTTTAAAGTCCTTTTTTTTCAAAATTTGGAACTAAATTGAAGCTTCTATGATGTCATCTGTACCAGCGATTACTGCACAAAGCCAAACGCACGGTTTAAGGACAGAGAACAAGGTACAAGCTCTATCGGTTTAAATATCTATTATCACACAAATCTGAGAGCTACAAAACAGATTTTATTATCAAAGGTGCACTGTGCCACTATTCTGGAGGGACGTCTGCCACTTGTCTCCATGGAGATGTTATTGCTTTGCCAGGAATGTCCCGTGGTGGCATTAAACTTACTGTATCTTGTATTCATTCAATTACAGGTGTCATAGGAAATTCTAAACAACCCACAGGTTGGTAGTGCGATTCCAGTGCCCTGTGTTTGTGCACACTGCTGTATGAATGTGTGTATGAATGTGTGTGTGAATGTGTGTGTGTGTGTGTGTGTGTGTGTAATGTGTGTTTGAATGTGTGTGTGAATGTGTGTGAATGTGTGTAAATGTGTGTGTGTGTAAATGTGTGTGAATGTGTGTGTGAATGTGTGTGTGTGTAATGTGTGTGAATGTGTGTGTGTGTGTAAATGTGTGTGTGTGTGTGAATGTATGTGTGTGAATGTGTAATGTGTGTGAATGTGTGTGTGTGTGTAATGTGTGTGAATGTGTGTGAATGTGTGTGTGTGTGTGTGAATGTGTGTGTGTGTGTGTGAATGTGTGTGTGTGTGTGTGTGAATGTGTGTGTGTGTGTGAATGTGTGTGAATGTGTGTGTGAATGTGTGTGAATGTGTGTGTGAATGTGTGCCATTTACTAGTTATTGTGACTCGCCTCTTCACAGATCTGATCCCAGGGTTCCCACGGTCATGAGAATCCTTGAAAAGTCATGGAAATTTAAAATGTAATTTTCCAGGCCTGGAACAGTCATGGAGTTTTGTAAATCCAATGAATGTTTTGGAAAAGTCATGGAATTTCATTATCTCTTTCACGCAGCTCCAGTGTTGTGTTAAATTTTAATGAAGCTTTTCTGATTATTTCTGAACGTCTGCGCCTTTTGTTTAAAAGAGACGACATGGGAGTAAATAAATCACACCAAACTCTTGTGAGGGTATTTTAAAAGCAAAAAAGCATCCTATCTACAATTATATTACTCTCTCCAAAATATCAAAATAAATATTGTATTGAGATATTTGGATATCGTTACATCCATAATACCAAAAGAGTTCACATTTCATATTTAGCCCTAAAAGTCTGATCTATTCTACACATGTAAGTGTCGTAAAGACATGGAAAATTCGCTTTAGCTCATCAAAAAGTCAAGCAAAAGTTTAGAAATTTTAGTCAGTGAAAAAGAATGGGAACTCTGTAATCCATAACCATCGACTGGATATATAAATGGACATAGTGTTTGCGATCCAGGCTTTTCCGGCTCCTTTTCACTCTGGCTCCCATTGACTTACGCTAGAATATTGTGGCTCTTCTCTCTGTACCTGCTGCTCTGAGCCTCGTCATTTTGGTCTTAAAATGTTCATATCAACCCACTCTACATGATCTTGGTGTTTGTTTGTTTTTTTTCTCGCTGTTTTGTCTGTAAAAAAATCCTATTAATACAGAGCGTGCCTCCAAATTCGCTCCTGTAAACATTAACATCGTGAACTTCATTTGAGTGGAGCTGAACACTGTGAGTGACACTCACTTAGTTCATTTTTTATTCTATTATCCGTAACTTGTGGAAGACCAGGCCAAGCGATAACACCTCCGCGGAGACAAGCAGGTGCCAGATCCTCCTCCGTAAAAGTTACACTGTGTGCCTTTAAAGGTTGTATAGAGGATTTTTTAAGGGAAAAGAAATACAGCGACAGTCCTTTTTTCAAACACCACCTTCCTCCTCCACAGCTCCCTCAGTAGAAACACCTCCTCCCGCATCCTTACTCTAGAAATCACGCTTGTTTACAGCCGGTGCGCGTTCAGAATTACTGTTGAAGTGACCTGTCTAGAAATAATTTAGCAACCGACACGTCAGTTTTTAGACCCTTCGTCTGCTTAATTCACTGGAAGAGATCTCCAAGAATCACCTCAGTCTGGTTTTGCTCCTTTTCCCCTTCTCTTCTTCCTTCAGCGACCTCAAAAACGGACTTTCTTTTGCGGCGAACTGGTCGTGGATTCTCGTCCTCCATCTCAACAAACTTTGTGAGAACTGTGAGGAAGCCACAGTTTAAAAAAGCCTCTAAGAACCGCTGCATAAACCACATAATCCCCGCGCACCGGCGAGCCAGTTACACGAGAAATGTAGGGAGTTTGATTGACAACCTAACAGCCAATTGAAAATGAGGTAGCCTTGTTTTCTATTGGCTGATGTTTATCTGGCCTCACTACGTCCACAATTGATATATTTTTATTCTTTATTTATTTATTTATTTATTTTTGGTCATTACAAGGCTGCTGCATTTCTGTAATGGTATTTTAAACTTTCATTGACAATTTAAAACAAAAACAAAAAATCCTCCATACAACCTTTACAACACAAGTTTGTTTGATTATTGGAGCAAGATTAATGACAAAATTGTTCATATATTTGTGTTTGATATTGACAAAAATATCTGAATTCTCATAGGGTACACCCTGGACAGTATATTAAAGAGCTTGTATGTCACTTTTGAAATGGAGGCTCCCAAACCTTTATCTTCTCTCCATGTTGATGTTTTGTCTTAAAATGTTCCCGTATCAAATCAAACTGAAACTATTTGTAGGTAATAAATGTTTGTCATGGAGTAAATGCAAGATGGAAAAGCTGAATGTGAATGAATACTGTGGAATATTTCAGGCAAAGCGCTAATATCTCCATGGAGACAAGCCAGTGGCAAATCCCTCTTCCAGAAAAGTTCCACAGTGCACCTTTAAACCAGCTTGTAATAACTGGACTGACTTCATCGCTGAAATATATCCTGAGCTGTGTATCGTCGCCTTACATCCGCCCAGGCTCAAGCTGATTGGCTGATTGGAGCTCGCTGTAGTCGCCATATTTGGACATGTCTGATGTTTCTCTTCCTGTTTCCACCAGTGCGGTCTGAACAGGTTTTGGGCTGGAGATTGTGGTTTTTCTTAAATATTAAACTTGGGCCAAACTGACAATTTAAAGCACAATAAGACGTGAAATCATGAGAAAAAAAATACAGAACTTTTGAGTTGTTTTCTGTGGAGGAACCTTTGAATTCTGGAGCTTGTTAGATGATAGGAGCTGTGTTTCAGTTCTCTTTCCTCGCTTCCTTCTCCTTGATTCTCCATTTTTCAGCTGTCAATCAAATGTGTATTAAGTGGTCCCCCCCCCCCAATGAAAATGATGATCCTGAATTAAACTTAATTCCGAGTGTGGGTGTTTTTTTCTAGATTTTAAAGCCAAATTAAACTATTCCTGGATCATGTTTCACTTTTATTCTGGTTAAAAATAACGTTGGTCGTTCAGTTCATGTTCGTTGTGTCGCCCTTCTGACGTGATCCGGACGATCCGGCTCCACCAGTCCAGGCTTTGGACTTTTATCCACATCTCTTTGGATTTGCGAGCGGGATGCA